GACCAGCAAGCAGGAGCACCCAGGTTCACGAGCCGTCGCGCTGGATCAGGGAACCCCGAGATTTCAATCCCACTAAGCTTAGCTGCCCGGTGAGCCGAACCTCAGATTTCTACTAGCCTCCTGTCCTGTCTCCTGCCCTCCTGATGAATTTCTTCTGTGGGTCAGTGTGAGATGCCTTTCTTTGTAAGCAAAATAGTGTAATTAAAATACACATTTTGTACAAGCAGTTTATACAGAGTGCTGCCTGGTGCCAGGTACTACATATTAAAGGCGTTAAAAATGCTGTCATTCTCACATGCTTCAGATAAGGAAACTGAGTTACGGGGAGTAGATAACTTGAGCCAATTTTCACAGCTGGGGGCAGAGTTGGCATTCGACCTTGACCCTGAGCAATCTGGCACCCGAGTCCCTGCCTCCCTGTGTGAACTCTCACCAGGCAAGGAGCCACTTAAAACTGTTATTTGGTTATTTACCTACTCTGTGTGGGCCTCCGAAAAAGTGAGTTACTAGGCCTGTTATATTTTCTTTGAAATAAAAGGAGGTATGTCCTCAAAATAACTATCACCAAGGTGGCATAAAACCACACACCCAGGTTTATGCCTTGTTAGCAGTGTGACACAGCAGAGATGGAGCTATGCTCTTCTTTTAGGGAACTCAAAGGTGTTCCCCCAAATTTGTTTTCTTTAAAGAACTGCTTCACTGTCAGCATTTCCATAAACCACATTCAATGGGGAAAAAAATCAACACAGTGAAAGAATCATACAAACTAAAATGTAAATCTAACCCTATCTGAGAGGCCAGTTTAGACAAACACATGCTGGCTCTTTTTCTGGTAACAGCCATTATACCTACTGCAGAAACTACTAAGTGTTTTTAGATCTGCTCGGTTAGCTGCTGCCGAACGAAATGCAAATTGCTAACTCTTCTTACAGCCCTTGTTTTGTCAAGTTTGTACTTGATGTTAACATTCTAAATGAAACACTTCCTCATCGATTTCACAAAGACATGGCCTGCAACTACAGTAGGGAAACACATTTCACAACATTCTCTTTCACACACTTATCACGTTGTCCACAACGGAAATGGTACCAGGAGTTTCCTGGTTCCATCTCAACTTGCCTACCTGATATGCTTAGTGGGACTGAACCCCCAGTGTCAATGAGGAAAGACAGAGAGAAAATATTCTTTGGGAGGTTGTAAAGCCAGAAAGTAGTAGTAAGAAAAGTCTTAACCTTTTAAGCAGTATACATTACCCTAATTTTCTGACATCACAGATATAAAAAAATAAAATCACCCTCCAGGATGAGAATAAAGGTCATTTGAACTTCTGGTTTCCTAGTCATAATGGAACTAAGAGCTATTTTATGAAGAGTACAGACACTGTCCTTCATATCGGGCACTGTCCTTCCCTGACTCCCACTATGTGCTTCTTTCCTAAATATCCCATTTGAGATCTGTAAGGTTTACCTTGATTGTCTTCTACGTCTCAGTTTCCTTATGTAATAGGGCTTCTCAAAATGCTGTTGCCACTGCTCAAAGTAGTATGTATTTTTATCTTTCCTAGGTTTGTCTCTTTCAAAGACTGTTTCCATCTGTTGCCACCCTAACCACATACATTAACAATCTTACAGTTTTCAACTATATCATCTGAATACTTTTCAAAACATTTATCTTACACACGTCAGTCTACCTTCATGTAGAGACATGGTAAATTTTAGAAAGCCATTCGTTAGTATTTTGTTTTGCTTTAAATTTTATCAAGAGCCAACCCTCTAGGGTCTGAAGCACAGTTTTACTCTGTTGGGTTCCAGTGCCCTTCCTGGTCAGGTCTTTGCAAGAACAGATACTGAATTGCAGTCTTCAAAGAAGCATCTGCAAGTACTTATTCTCAGGGACACAACAGTAAATGGTCAGAGTTCATGATCCTATACCTATGGTAGAAATCATTTTTTCCCTAAACACATAACCCTGTAATTTTCCCTTCTGCCACAATTCTTGCTGCAGTTATTCTTCATCTGTGTGTCCTCTCAATATGTTGACCATCAGTCAGTCCTAACGTCGAGCAGTTATTAAGAGCCTGCTTCATATAAGGCACTGTGGAAGGTGATCTAAATATAACGATGACTCTTAAGATGATGTCTTGCCTCTGGAGAACTCACAAGGGCTGCATCTAGGGTTATATTTTTCAGCAGACCAGGTATAAATATGTGGGAAGTTAAGGAAAAAAATAGTTAACAATAAAAAGATAAAACTGTTTAGAAAAATGTAACTGGCATGTATCAAATCCCTTTTAATGGCTATGAGGAGGGAAAGCAGATTTGAATTAGAAAAGGGCCCCTATAACTGAGATTTCACTCCACATTCACTCTTGCAGTTATTTCTAAAAGCATGGAAGTAGGTCCAGTAACAGAGAATATGATAGACTACTATGTAGCCATTAAAAATAACATTGCTGAATTCTGTTACAGAAACCAGAAAAATACAATTCACTGCTATGTGAAAAGGTTACAAAAAAATGACAAGGATCAGAATATGTCATTTTCCTCAAAGAGAAATACGCATGCAAATCCAGTCAAAGAAAAGGAGCAGCAATATTAAATACAAGAGCAATTTCCGAGAGACGGGATTACAGGTGGTGTATACAGGCTATGCAACTCGGCTGGCAGCAACTCGATTTCATCCCAAGATTCTTAAAAGAGAACTATTTGACCCTCGGGATTTCTCTGTGCTAAAAACCCTTGACAGGGGCAGAAGACACTGGCGGCTTCACCACCATCTGATCAATTCATCTGAATTTTAAGGTCAAAATCAAACAAGTATCTTGGATAAAGTCTTTATTTTGCACTGCCATCTTCAGTGAGTTGTGTCTGTGATTCTCTAGCTGTGTTTTTCGGAAACCAAGGGCTCTCTCCTCTTTGGGGATGTCATCTAAGTTTACACTCAACTCACAATCTCTTCTTTGGCAAGGAAGTCAATTCCCCACGTCATCAGTTTTCCACGTGCGAGGACTGTCAAGATGCTTTTCTTATATGCAACTATTCATACAGACACATTGTATTTCATCAATTCTATGACAAACATTGTTTCATGTCTTAACACCTCTGAAATTGAAGTATGTGATATAATCAATGGCGTCGTAAATTTGGGGGCAGTATTTTCCTTTATTGATAAACAGTGGTGTGCCTGATAATCAATGGTGTCACGGTTGATGAAATACAGTGTATTAATTCCTATTTGTTTCAGTCAGAGTCAAAGTGGGCAGGTGAACCCAACATACAAAGACAGTGGCAAAGAAAAGACACACTTGAATTAACAGATATTTTCCACTTTTCTTTGTGGCTTTATTTTGAATCAACATTTCACAGCCTCTGCCAAACCTGCTCTAATGGTAACAAAAGCTAAAACACTGAATTCAAGAAAAGATCAGTGATTCAATGTCCTAAAACTGACCTTGTCCAAAGTAAACTTCATTACTCAGTAGTGCACTATTCAAAGTTTATGGTTCAGTGAGCTGGATATGAAGAGAATATGACTAGTTAATAGTTCACTTGGATCAGAAAGGAATGTGTTCACTCCTCTCATCTCACACTCTAAATCATTCACTAGTAGAACACTTTTCTGACAGCTTCTTCAGAACTAACCTTAAATGCAGCTTCTAAACCATTGCAGTTAACGAAAGCTTCACAAAGAATCGTCCCGAGCCTTCTGTCAAAATCCAAAGTTTTGGACTTGAAGATGACATAATCACTTTCAAATTCCTATGAAATTCAAGGTAAAAATATTAGTTGACGGGACAGAATCCAAGAGTGAAAATATCAATTACATAGGTGCGACACCTCTTTCTGTCTCTCTGAGTGAACTTATTTTTCAAAGCAGGATTCCAGGAAAGACCAAGAAAGAGCTGTACCTGAGTGACCGTTCAAGTGGCAGCCTTACCGGAGCACCGAATAATCAGCACGTCAACTCGTATTCCCACAGGTCTCCCTGCCTCAGACCCCAACATCAGTACTCTGGCCTCACTCCATCCTTCTCCATTCTATTTTGATTATAAATTAAAAAGCAAACCTCTTCATAAAAGAAAAAGGGAAAAAATAACCCAGTCTTATTATAACTTTAGTATCTCTATCAGTTTAAATAGGTTGTTTTTTGTTTTGGTTTTCAGGGAGCAGAAAACCTACCAGAAGATAAGTGAGAACAAAAACCCACAGGTCTGTATTAAAGCATCATTAGCGATACAGACAAAACACACTGCTCTTCACATTTTCCCAGTTTCTTATTAATACGCAGTTAACAACCCCCAGTTTCCTCCGAATACATGGCCATCCACTCCCATAATCAGAAAGAATGAAACAGTGAAAGAGTAACTGTCATCTGCATAGCATTACAACACACAGAAGTCCCAGAAATTCACACTTTGGGCTTCCCAGGCATACCGCCCCTGGACTATGTGCCACACATATAACCTAATGAAGCCCTTTGTTACCTCCATGAACTGAGCCTCCAACTATTAATCATAATGCAGTAATAATAATAATAATAACAATAACAACTGCTAACATGTATTCAATCCTGTTCTAAATACTTTACCTCATCAACTCAATTCTAACAACACTTGATGTAGGTACTTTTTTTTTCCATTTTGTAGGTGACAAAATAAACTCAGAGAAGTCAAATTAATGCCCACAGTCATACCACTAGTTAATACAGGGTCAGAATTTAAATCTCGGTAACTTGGCTCCAGAGGCCACACTCCAACCACGATTTTGTATGTGTCCACGATGCTTCCACGTTATAATGAAGGAATGCACCTTATCCTGATTTAACACAAAATGAGAAACGGAGCATAATGGCAGAAATTCTAGAGCACTCTGTTATACACTGAAATGCCCTAATTACTATCAAGAGAAAGTCTTTTGCTTCTGAATCAGGGCCAAACATTCTCTTCATTCAAGGATTACTGACTTTAAAAAGTACACAACTTCCCAACAAGTTGTAACAAGCCTAGCTTACCCCTCCTCCCAGTGCGGCAACAAAGAACATACAACTTCAGATCCCCAAACACTGTTTGAACAACTAGCAAGTAAGTAACAAATCAGAGAGGGAACAAAGGCTAATTTCCATAACTGTATCTCTACCAAACTCTCTTTTCTGTCACTCAACCTCAATTCCAAGCTGCCGATGGTACCTCTCCCCTAGGAAGTCCTGCAGAAACTCAAATTCATCGTGTACAAAACTGGACTATCCACCTTCTCTATAAATAGCCACTCCTCTTTCTTAAACCCCAACAGAAACTATGGTAATCTTATTTCTTCCTCTCTTGATCAAGTGCTATCCATCTTTTCTTCTAATGACCTGATTTCCTTCTCTCCAGGTATCACCCTGATCAGAATCACCAGTACCTCTCCCTTTTCCCTCTCCCTCTCAATACAATTTTTTGATAATTCCTTTCTTTTTGCCTACTCTTCACCTGCTTCCTTTCTATTCACTTTTCAGTTCTATTTATCTTTCAGTTATTTTCTCAATTTCCTCTCCAGCACTCTGAGAAGAGGCTTCTCACAAATGCTCCCATAGCACTCAGTACTTTTCCTAACCTAGCACTGAGCACACTGTATAAATGCCTCCCTGTTTTCTCCCCAGGATTTTAACCTATGAGTTTAATACCTATGTTTATTTTTTTCCACAGTGACAGAAGCAACAGTTAATGGGGTTCCCAGAACATAGCTATTTTCAATAAATTTTACTGAAGAATAAATAATATACTAGTAGTATACATAAATCATTAAAGTTTTTCAACATACTAAAAACTGTAAAATTGCCCTTATTAGTGACATAAGAGAGTACTGCAGTTTTAACTAGATAAATGCTGTGGTTTAACTTAGCTCCTAAAAGGTACACAAGCTGCTGTGTGAAGAATAGACCCTAACAGAGCCAAGACAATGGCAGAGGGAGCAACTTAGGAGCAAATGCAATCACCCAGGTCTGGGAAACCTTTAAGACACTGATGAAAGAAATTGAAGATGACACAACAGGTAGAAAGATAAACCATCTTTTGTTTTGTGTTCATGGATTGGCAGAATATTGTTATGATGACCATACTACCCAAGGTGATCTACAGATTCAGTGCAATTCCTATCAAAATACCAATTGTATTTTTCATAGAAGTAGAAAAAAACTGTTTTATGTGAACTTTTTAAAAGAATGATATTTAATGTACTTATTTATATTGCTCTAGATATTATATTATTTCATTATATATACATCAGTTATCACTGTCTAATGTTGCCATCTTTCACCAGTTCAAGAAAAGTATAAAATTTTGCCTCCCACAACCAGTGAGTCAAGGAAGAAATTACCTGAGAAAAAAAGAATAACTTGAGACAATTGGAAAAATCTTCAACATATCCAAACTTAAGAAATGCCACAGAAGCAGTATTGAGAGGGAAAATTTATCACTGTAAACACATGCATTAAAAAAGGAAGGATCTCAAATGAATAACCTAACTTGACACCTTAGAGGAGTTGAAAAAGAGCAAACAAATTCCAAAGCTATCAGATGGATGGGAAAAAAAATCAAGATTAGAGTGGAGATAAATAGAAGAGACAAAAGGAAAACAAAAGAGAAAATTAACAAAGCCAAAAGTTTGTTCTTTGAAAAGAAAAAAAAAAAAAGAAACTGACATTTAGCTAGATTGACTAAGGAAAAAAGAAACTCAAATTCCTTAAATGAAAGCTGGGACATTACTACAAATTTTACAGAAATAAAAAGGATTATAAAAGTGTACTATCAGCAACAGTGCACCAAACTGTGTAACACAGATGATATGGACAAATTCGTAGAAACACACAACCTACCATGATTGAATAATGAAGAAACAGAAAAACTGAATAGGCCTATAACTAGCAAGGAGATTGAATAAGTTGTCAAAAACCTTCTAACAATAACAAAAAAGCCTAAGACCAGATGGCTTACTGATGAATGCCACCAAACATTTAAAGAAGAATTAACACCAACCCTTCTCAAACTCTTCTAAAAATTGAAGACC